AATTTGTATGAATTTTATGAGCCAAAACAGGCAGTCAGGCAGGTGGCGGGTGAATCTAAAATAGCTCGAGCTGACACTCACCGCGTTATGGAAAAAAATCCGTTGGCGAAAGTTCAGCGGCAAGGCACCGCGATATAGCGAAACGTTAGAGGCAAGCGTTGTTGGTATTGTATATATATATATATATATAAAGAGAGAGTATATATATATATATATATATATATATACATACACACACACACACACACACATTGGTTAATTTAGTAACCCCTGACTCCTACGACGGGGTTAGACCCAAATCCAGGTCGAAGTCCGATATAGACAAAAAAAAAAATTTCAATTTTAAAATCTATAATGAACACAGTAATAATTAAACGTAAAAAATAATGAGGAATGGATACACAGTGCGCAATAAATAATGAGGAATGGATACAGTGTGACTGAGCACTTACCTTAAATGTCGCTGAATGCAACATCGGGCCCCCATAATTTCTATTTACAGGATACATGGAGACTATATTAATTGGAAGAAGCAGAAGAGGAGACAGGGCTGTGGGTCATCACGTCAGTTTCCTTCAGACAGGTTTATGTACTGTGGTAACTTGCTGGTTGGAAGGTATTGGATCATCTGCGGGGAGGAAGAGGCAGCACTGGTGGGGCGGAGGAGCCAGCATTGGGGGACTTTTGAAATAGGTGTCCATTCTAGACTGCACAGTTTCTTTTCTTTCAATATAAATTTCTCTGCAGCAAGCAAGCGAATCTTGATCATTCTCAATAACTTTGGTATAACGTATTTATAATTTTGATCCATGTCATCAAACATTTGCATTGTTTTATTAACGTGGCAAATGCCCCTGCCATATGTTTCACTGAAAACTTCTTTTGGGGGTGCAGGCTCTTCTTCTACATTTTGTCTTTCTTTCTTCTCTGGGTAAACTTTCTGTGCATCTAGTTCAATAAGATCCTCACATTGAGCTCTTTCTGCTACACTTTCAACCAACTGTCCAACATCTTCAGCATCAATTTCTAACTCCAGCTGTTTACCTAAGTCCACTATCTTGTTACTAATATCCAAAATAACTTCAATTTTCATTAAAACCCTTTGAAACTGTTCACATATCTTTTCAGGATTTTCTTCCATATCCTCCATCTACGCAATGTTTTGTAACCTGATCCCATGCTGCACCAATGCCCTTTATACATGACAAATGTTGTACTCTTTCCAAAAACTGTCTGAGTCAGTTTTCTCACCTTCAGTAGCAGCAACAGCCTTTGTTTTAAGGTCATGAAATACATGCTTAAAGGCAGAAATAGCACCTTGATCCATGGGGTTGGATGATAGAGTGCAGTGTTAGGTGGCATGTACACCACCCAACATCAGGGTGCATGCCGTCCAGGTGTGGTGGTAACTCAGACATTATCCAAAATCAGTAAAATCTTGAATGGAAGTTTTGTTGCAGACAACACCTTGCTCGTGGAATGAAACAAGTCATGAACCAATCTCAAATAGTACTAGGGTCATCCAGGCTTTGTTACTGCGATAAACACTGGGCAGTGTGTGCTTGCTGACATGTTTAAAAGCCCTGGGGTTCTTCTGAATGATAGATCATGAAGGCTTTAGCTTGAAACCAGCAAATATTCCCCCCAACAGAAGTGTAATTCTGTCCTTGAATGCCTTGGAATCCCGGCATTTTTTTGCCTTGTGGGATGTATGTCCGTCATATGCGCTTCAATAATCCAGTTCATCTGACATTAGAATATTTGCCCGCAACAATTCCTCCACAATCACATCATCTAACCTCCCAAAAGCACCAACATCGGGCACTCCAGCTGCCTCCACCACCCAACACCGTGTAGACTGTAGCGTAAATCTATCAAACCACCCTTGACTTCCCCTGTAAAGGTTTGATCAAGATTCATCTCCTGCCTGCTCCTTCCAGGCTTTGGAACAGGCTTTGCTTTAGCCTGTATGGTTAGGAACACTTAAGGGCACACGCTTGCATCTGGTCTTTCTATCCATATCACCAATAATTTTTCCATATCGATAGGACCTGTCTTTTCTTTTGTTATTATAGTTCCTTTATAGGTGTTGTTCCTTTCACCATTTACCTAACACGCTCCTTCAGAATAGTGGATAGTCGAGTGTGAGAAACCTAGGTCATGTGGAGATTGTTGCTACTGTTTTTCCATTCTCATACTGTGTTATTACTTGAAGTTTCTATCTCTAAAAAGTAATTGCTCTGTCTCTTTTCTCCTTGGAGTACCACCAGCACTCTCATACTTTACGCTTCCAGCTTTCATTATAAAAGTCAATTAAATACACAATAACGAAAGTTCACAGCGATCAGTAGATACGAGAATAATATAGCGACCAAAGCCATCCTCCTCGCCGGAGCCGAAACGTTTTGAGATAATCTTGGCGTCATTTGAAAAATTTTTCAGTCACGGCGTGCAGTAGTAAGTACCATTGGACGTAAGTTCGTATAATTCGTAAGTCGGGGTTTAGGTGTGTATATATATATATATATATATATATATATATATATATATATATATATATATATATATAATCAACACATCAACCGCCGGTCGAACCCACGGCCCGACTGTGACGAGGGAGCTAACCGCTGGACCACCAGGATACTAAGCAGTCCTAGACTCTGTTATATTTTCACACAAGCCTGTTCAACAAGCTTGTAGGGCCATGAACCTCTAATGGGGACTGCCCATATCAAGCAGGTGGTCAGAGTAACGTTTTACCAAATCCGTTCGAAACCACGAGGATCCATATATATTTCATTAGCCCAATAAACACCGGTTAGCGTTCCCGGTCTGATCACAGGCCGTGGGCGTGGGTTGAATCCTGGCGGGTTGAGGTGTTGATTGTATGTAGAAGTCAGCGTGTTTATTGGGCTAATGATATATATATATATATATATATATATATATATATATATATATATATATATATATATATATATATATATATATATATATATATATATATATATATATATATATATATATATATATATATATATATATATATATATATATATGGTATATATATATACACACACACACACACTCAACACCTCAACCCGCCAGGATTCGAACCCACGGCCCACGAGCCCACGACTGTGACCGGGGAACGCTACCTCTGGGCCACCAGGATACTAAAAGCAGTCCTAGACTTTGTTTTTGGGCTAATGAAATATATATACAGTCAACCCTCACTTTTCGCGGTTAATGTAACCCACAGGGTACCGCGGAAAGTGAGAAACGCGTAAAGTGAATAACATAACATATGGGATTAAATGAAATAGAGACCAGCTGACCCCCCAAACTCCACTTTTTCCAGCACAATACCTATGTTCTAGTAAAAATAACATCTTAATTTTATGCTGGTACATGCACACAATTAATACTTAAGAGAAATAGAGAAATACAGTCGCCAAGTTAATGTCCATTCAAATAATGGACTCCACTCCCTCCCATTCTTCTCACAGTACACTCACTGGCTCTTCCCTCTGAGAAATTTTGGGGGGAAAACCAGGTATAGTAATAAATAATACCTCAAACTAAAGTTAGGATAATATAATTGACATTGCTGGATTCCTTGTAAGACCAGGAATATTTTGAATATAAATGTCATATATTTTTCACAAAAGATAACATATTTACTCAGAGTAAACATTACATCTAAAATTTGTATGTCTAATGCAAAATCTATGATGTTTATATTCAAAATGATCATCAAATTGTAAGAATTCCAGCAATGTAAATTATATTCTGGCCGGGTAATTTGTATGAATTTTATGAGCTAAAACAAATATCTTCAGTTAATAAAAAAAAAAAATATTCTTCACGACACTATCTGTCAATCAAAGTACCCCACCTTGCCTCCCCCCTCTTCCAACGAGCCAGATGGTCAGTCCGTCCCAACCCTCCCCCCCACCTCCCACCAACCCTCCCTTCAAGAGAAAGAGTGGGTGAAAAAACTAGATTTTAACATTTAGTATTAAATAATACCTCAGATTAAAGTTAGGATAATATAATTGACATTGCTGGATTCCTTGTAAGACCAGGAATATTTTGAATATAAATGTCATATATTTTGCACAAAAGATAACATATTTACTCAGAGTAAACATTATATCTAAAAATTTTATGTCTAATGCAAAATATATGATGTTTATATTCAAAATGATCATCAAATTGTAAGAATTCCAGCAATGTAAATTATATTCTGGCCGGGTAATTTGTATGAATTTTATGAGCTAAAATAAAAATCTTCAGTTAATAAAAAAAAAATATTCTTCACACATGCCAGGTGGTCGGTCGCCGGTCCCTCCCTCCCCCCACCCCCCACCAACCGTCCCTACTAGATAAATGTGTGGGAATACCAGACTGTTTACCTTTTTAGTAATAAATAATAAATCAGACTAAAGTTAGGATAATATAATTGACATTGCTGGATTCCTTGTAAGACCAGGAATATTTTGAATATAAATGTCATATATTTTGCACAAAAGATAACATATTTACTCAGAGTAAACATTATATCTAAAATTTGTATGTCTAATGCAAAATCTATGATGTTTATATTCAAAATGATCATCAAATTGTAAGAATTCCAGCAATGTAAATTATATTCTGGCCGGATAATTTGTATGAATTTTATGAGCTAAATAAAAAAATTATACTTCACCCGTGTAAAGGGGTACACCCACCGCGGAATGTGAGCATCCTGGGTTCTGGCAGGGCACCGCGTAAACGTGGAAACGCGGAATGTGGGACCGCGTAAAGTGAGGGTTGACTGTATATATATATATATATATATATATATATATATATATATATATATATATATATATATATATATATATATATATATATATATATATATAAGCTTAGCATATTTACTGCTAATCTCTTCATTTCAGTTGGTTCACAGAATATTTTTATTACTTTATACAAATCAGATATTATATCTTCAGATATGCTGGGTTCACCTGTATCTCCTGGAGGTCAAGTTTCCCCTGCACCTACAGGTGTGTTAGGTAGCCATATGGTGAAACCTCCAGTTTCACCTCAACATTATGGTGGAGGAACTATGTATACAGTTTCACCTCAAGCTCCCAGTCCCCTTGGACAGGGTGTCTACTATACCCAACATTCTCCAGTGCATACTAGTAACTTTGGAGTACATGTTGCACCTGCCTCTTGTACCAGTGCACCAAGAGTCCCATCTCCACACCACCAGTATTATCTTAGTCCTGGTGCTCCTTATTCTCCCGAAGCATCAGTTGGTGAGTACACTTTGCAGGAATAGAATTGCTTACCTTTTTAAATATCTATGTCATGTTGCTTTTTTTATTTGCCTGCACAAATTGCTGAAATGCATATGTTATACTATATGTACTCTTTTTATGTCATAATCATCAGTGTTGTTGTTGTATGCAGTATACAGTTTTATGTATGAAATTGCTTGCAGGTGAGCTTAACCCTCTCGTGCATGATGACGTGATTCACATCATATTCATGATAATATCAACTTCAGGTGACTCAAATTAAGTCACCAATTTTAAAAAATTCGCCCCATATTAACTTTTCAACAGAATGGCGTCAAATTTTGATGCTTCATAGTAGCAAGTAAGTTCTATCAAATAAACTAATTGGCAACTCTCGAGGCGCATAGTTCGGGAAGACTGGTACAATAAATACACAGTATTATCTCGGCAGTCAGACTGTGAGTGTGAGCTGCGTCCATTTAAATTTCCATTACTCCGTGCGGGCTGCCTCACCTCCTGGATCACAGTGTTGACCCTACTCCCTGAAATAATTTATTTTTAAGTGTTATAGAAGTGAAGTGATGGTTGTGTAATGTAATATTTTTTTATATTTACAGGGAAAGTGTTTAGTTTTCAAAAGCCGTTACCATATCAGGCTATACAACCTCGTTATAGTAACTATGTCTCAAAAAAAGTCTCTGAAAGGGGATGACTTTCTAGACTTACAAGAATTTTATCAGTACCATTCTCCTTATTATAGTCTTGGTTGCAAATGCAATATAATTTATATCGATATAAAACATAGGCACCAAAAAAATAAAAAAGTAGAAAAAAAGCCATTTTTTTTTCTAAAAAGCAGTTTTTGTGATATAGTCCAGAATGTGACGTCTAGCTTATATCTAGGTATGTTAATGCCTAGCAATAACTCGCCAGGCAACATACAGGCAATTAAAACATCTAATAATTACTTAATATGTAATATTAGGACACGTCGCTACCTGACATTTAATTGCAATTCTCAAAACCCCCTCCCGCACCCTCCATCACACGCATTGCTACTGTCATCTCTTGCCCTAGAGCGAGCTGTAAACAGATGTCAACTCTCGAGGGATGGAGATGGGTGGGATGTCGACGTCGCATTCTGGGCTATATCACAAAAACTGCTTTTTAGAAAAAACGGTTTTTTGTTCAATCCAGAATGCGACGTCTAGCTTTGATTACCCGTGCAGGAGGTGTCATTGCGTATAAGGCTCCGCTAGCTTAGGTCCAGATTGTAATTATATTTTTTATTTATTTTTATTTTTTTTAATATTTTTAATATTAGGAACATTTACCGGAAGGTAAAATGTTAATTTACATATCCCAATTAGGATACTCACTTTACTCTGATGAGGAAGAAGGTCCTGGTTGTGGAGAGTAACTAGGTGGGGAAGGGGACCCCAGCACCACCACATGTGAAGCATTTTCCAGAGATAGATGAAGATAGCTGTTTTGAAAGGTTTTGAAGATTTCCAAAAGTCCACTTCTTTGATCTGACTGAGGCTCATATGCTTCAGAAAGCCACAGACCCTGCATATTTCCTGGTGTCATGTGCCAAAAATTTCTTGCCAGGGTCTGCTTTACTCACTAACTGAGATAAATATTTTGTCATTTGACTAGGAGACAATTTTTTACCATCCTGTGATGAGAATACATAGGGGCTTCGATTAGGGAATCTGGTAAACCATTCTTGAAGATTCCTAACTGGGCACAATATATGAGGAACCCTTGTCTCATCCATCAGCCGTTTTATCCTGATAGGTTGAGCTCTAAAATCCTTCCTTTCATTTTTTCTTAGGATCTACGTAGGAAAAAGGTTGAGATCTTCCTCAGAAAATACCAATAATGATGGATTCTTGGAAATTGAAATCAGCTCACTGATTTCATACCTGTTGCTATTGCTAGAAGGAAGGCTGCCTTCTGGAGCAATCTGTCCCGGTTCACATTTATACTGTATTGTATTTAGGTCCCATAAGAAATTTAGTAACTTTATCTCGAGACCAAGGTGAGATTCTCTTAGGCTGAGGAGGTCTCTGAATAAAAAAGGACGATCTGAGCATTTGATAAATTCTTGGGTTCAGAGTAATATTAAAACCCCATGCAAGAGGGTCAACCAATGCTGATTTATAAGATGCAATTGTCAATCCTTGAAGGCCTTTAACTCTGAACAGAAAATCTAAAAATTTTAACACCACTGTTTCCGACAATGTGATTGGAGTCGTTAACCTGATAAATTGTTGAAAAAGTTTCCAAGCTTTCTCATATTGCATAGAAGTTTGGGGCCTATGACCTGCTATCACTTAGGTAACGATATTGGAATTACCCAACAATCTATTTAAACATCTTTTGAGAAACTCCAAGCGTGAAGTGCCAAGGATATCTCGAACTGAGGGTGCAGTACCTGTTCTAGATATCCCTGTTGCAATTGTAGTGAATGCGGGCATTAGTCCAACAGATCGAGACTCCGCGGTTGTAGGATCCAATATGGTGCAATTAAGAGGACCTTCCCTTGGAAGGATCTGAGTTTGTGAACCACTTTGGGCAACATTTTCACAGGTGGGAACAGATAGGTTGAATTCCAATGGTTCCAATCTATGAGTAGAGCATTTCCTAAAAGATTCGACCATTCCAGCGATGCATAAATTGGCATCTTGTGATTGTGTTGTGAGGCAAAGAGATCTATTTGTGGAGTCCCAAACCTCCTCACTAGGCTCTTGAACTTCGATATCTTTAGGGACCATTCTGTTTCCGTCGATACTGGCCTGAGACAGGACAACGCATCTGCCCAATTGTTTTGTACCCCCTAGTATGTGTGTTGCTTTGAGGTAATGTGTTTGTATTACACAAACTTTGAGCATTTTTTCCGATAGGTTTAGAAGGGGCCAAGATCTGGTTGAGCCTTGATGATGGATACAAAACACTGCCGTTCTGTTGTCCATGGCAAACAGAACCGTCATGTTTTTTAAATTTGGGTTTGCTAACAAAAAGAATAGGACTACTGCTAATTCTTTTATGTTTATGTGTTTGTCCCAAAGGGAGTTGCTCCACTTCCTTGACGGAACTCTCCTTTTGAGGAATGGTATCCCCATCCTATTTCGGACGCGTCTATACAAATGACCAAGTTTGTTTGAGGGGGAACCTAGGGAGATGAACCGATTAGATTGTCCCAATTTTTCCACCAAGACAGAAGATTCTTGATCTGAATAGGGAGAGAAGAAGCAAAATTTCTGTTTCTGTGAAGCAAATTTGACCCCAGATGAGTTAGTTGCTTCTTCCTTAACTTGTCCAAAGGAAATACTATTGTGGCAAAATTCAAAAGACCCAGTAGTTTTTCCCAATTTTGCCAAGAAACCTCTTGCTTTACACAAAAGGCTTCTACTTGGTTTATCACATCTGTTACCTTTGCTCCTGGTAGACTGACTGACTGCTTAATTGTGTCCCAATGGAGACCTAACCAATCCAATTTTTGACATAGTATGAGATTGGGATTTGACCTCGTCTATCTTTAATCCTAGTTTTTGAAATAGTACTAGTGTACGTTGGGTCGCCCTTTGACAATCTTCGAAAGAGTTTCCCACTATCAGCCAATCGTCTAGATAAGCAAAAGTTCTTATGCCCTCCTTCGCAAGGATCTCTCTGGGGATGTATGCCAGTTTTGTAAACACTTTTGGCGCAATTGTCAGGCCGAATGGCATCACTGTGAATTGATAACTTACATCCCCTACTGCGAATACTAGAAACTTTCTGTACCTGGGAGTAACAAGCACGTAATAATAGGCATCTTCGAGATCCACTTTTGAGATCCAAGCATTGGGCGGAAGTAGATGCCTCAGATGATCGTAAGTGAGCCTCTTGAAACTTGTTTTGGTAATGAACTTGTTCAGGACGGAAAGATCTAAAATCCACCTCAAGTTGTTGCTGCCTTTCTTGGGGACTGGAAATAGGCGAGACATGAAACATTTCTCTGACTGTAACAGTTCTATCACACCTCTGTTTAACAGTTGAATTAGAAATTCTGTGAGTAAGGTGGTTGGTTTTTTACCCCTTTTTGGTAACACTAGGGGAGGGCGCCTCAACCAAGTCCATTTGAGGCCCCTTTTGATTGTCTTGTAAGCCCATATGGAAGAAGTCCATCTGTTTTCCCAACCCCCCTAGACGACCCAGCTGTCTGGCTTCATTGGGAGGGAATGACCGCTGATGTGGTGGAATAAGGTCTCCTTCCACTTCTGAACAAACGGCCACCCTTACTACATCTTGAATTGTTTCCTCCTCTAAAGTTTCCTCTAGGTTGATAACTGAACCTAGCAGCTGGTCCTGTTCCCCTGTTAGACCTTCCTCTTTTAAATTTCTGAAAGGTTTGAGGAATACTGGGAACAGTAATATTAATAGCTTGCTCAACAGCTGATCTATGCTTAACTAATGTTTGTTCATCAAACAAAGCAGGAGAAAGAGGGGAAGAATGTAGCAATAAATACTGGTAAGCACTACCACTTGAAGCATTATTAATGGCTTGGTTCCTTAGCTGGGCTTTTAGTTTTAGGGCTTTCAACAACGTTTCCAAAAATGAGTTGTACAGGGAATATGGAATCCCTTGTACAGTATAGCAGCACTAAAACATGTGTCTACTTCTGAACTGTCCTCATAGTCCAGCACTAACTTAGTCAATAACTGACACATCATAATTGCAGACCAAATATCTGCTGCCAACTTCCTAAATTTGAACTCTTCAAGCAACAGTGCAGAAGCAACTGGTTTCAAATTTATTTCATAACTTATATCAGCGTATTTTAGAGCCGACAAATACTGGGAAAGTTCATATTATAAGGAACTCTTTTTGTCATTAAATTGGAACTTCAAAAAGCTAAACTTGTGAGCATCCCTGTCTGCGGGAATGAATGTTAAATCTTTCAATAAATTAGCCCAGACTTCGTCTATTTCAGAGATCATTTTGGGGCAAATATCAGGCCAAGAAAGTGTAGTATCACCTTCTAGAAACAATGAATGGTGACCCACAGTTGCTTGGCCTTCCTGTCTCTTT